TTAATTTAAAGAAGTAGAAAGAAACCTTTGACTTTGCTTTTTTTTAATTCAATGAGTGGGATTTTGCAAGGACCAAATTTGTATATTTCATGCAAACCTGGGTAAACTGCAGAACAGCAAATGCCAGAAAGACAGATGGCAGTGACTCTTGTGTGGGTTTGTCCAAGCGATGCTTTTCAACATTCAGCAATGGATTCTTTGACCATCCACTGGGAAGGCCAGTACTTGGCAATGCTTTTCAGTTGGCAGATTCTTTCTTTGTTGTCTATTATTCCTAGTTTTGTACCCTTTCCCAGACTTCCAGCTGCCTTTCCATTTATTGACAATCAGCAGTTCTGGCTTCACTGCTGTCCCCAAATCTTTTCAGTTTAGAACATTTTTCATAAGAGTAATCTGTTATTTTCCCAAAGAATATTTTCATTTCTAAAATTCATGCCTCAATATTCTCTGAAGACAAAACATAGCTATATACTTAGTTTTAGTCTTGAGCAATTTCAACATATTAGATGCATACAAACCTACACACATCTCGCTATATATATATATATATGCATTGATATATATTTTATATGTACATAATATATATATAGCTATATGTAGTTCAATAACTTCAATAGGCAATTTAAGATTTTAACCATATCCAGAACCAAAATAATTTTTCCCAGGTTCTCAAAAGTATCATTCAATACTGAGGTTCTATCATTTCACACTTCACTCACAGATTTCCCTGAAGTTGAATATTCCTTGACTGTAATGTAAATGGAAGAGATGGAAAATCATGGTACTGCTATAGTAGCTGCAACAAGTGAATGTCAAAGTAAATTATTTAGTGTTTTATAAAGTCATGGTGAAGTTTATAGGTCAAGATAAAATGGTATATATGAAGCCAGTGTCCCAGTTCTACCAATGGAAACTTTGCCTGGTTACAGCAGATGGCCAGTTCAGGCTCCATATATACCCCATTACTAGGAGTCTTCACTAGGGTCACCTTTGAAGATGATAGGGAGTTTCCATTGCACTAGGTTTCTACATTGCTTCCAAAATGCTCTCCCAATTCTAGTCATTTCACCTAATATTCTCCCTCCCATCCTCCTCCCAACTGATCCCTCCTGTTCCCATTCCCATCAGCCCGAGTCCACTTGTGAAATCTATTCTATTTCTCTTTCCCAGGGAGAGCCATGTATTTTCCCTTGAGCCCTCCTTGTTACTTAGCCTCTCTGAGTCTGTGGGTTGTAGCATAGTAATCTTTTACTTAACAGCTAATATCCTTTGATAAGTGAGTACAAACCCTGTTTGTCTTGCTGGATCTGTTCCAACTTGAGGCCCATGCCTCCAGAGAGAGCCCAAGCCTGACACTGCCTGAATAGTCAAGAACCTAGGCTGGATAGCCCAGACCTAGAATAGAAACAAACACGATTGGCTGAAAAACGTCAATGAAATGATTCTTAATGACAATCTATTATAATCATAGACTGGAGCCTAGCATAATTGTCATCAGAGAGTCTTCATCCAGCAACTGATGGGATGCAAATGCAGAGATCCACAGCCAAGCATTAGGTGGAGCTTGGGGAATCCTGTGGAAGAAGGGGAGGAAGGAGTATGGGAGACTGAGGGATCAAGGACACCACAAGAAAATCCACAGAAGCAACTAACTTGAGCTTATAGGGGCTCAGAGACTGAACCAACAATCAGGAAGCTTGTATGGTTCTAACCTAGATCCTCTGCATGTATGTTATGTTTGTGTAGTTTGGTGCTCTTGTGGGACTCCTAATAGTGGCAGGGGGTGTGTTTCTCTGACTCTTTTGCCTGCTTTTGGGACCCTTTTCCTCCTACTGGGTTACCTCGTCTAGCCTTGATATGAAGGTATGTTTCTTTTCTTATTGTAACTTGTTGCGCTGTATTTGGTTGAATATTCCTGAGATGCTTGCTATTTTCTGAAGTTAAACAAAGGAGGGATAGATCTAGGGGAGAGGGGAGTGGGAGGAGTAAATGGAGGGGAAACTGTGGCCAGAATGTAATATATGATAAAAGAATAAATAAAAAAATTTCATGTAGTGGATAAGGAATTAATATCAAAAATATGCACATAATTTCTAAATCTCAGAAACAGAACACATCTTACATAATATACTGAATTGGTTTGTATGCTAACTTAAAAAGTTTAAAACATTAAAAATGCAAAGCTATCCCATCACAAGAGTAGGTCAGTTCCGGCTGTCTCTCGACCATTGCCAGCAGTCTATTGTGGGGGTACCTTTGTGGATTTCTGTGGGCCTCTTTAGAACTTTGTTTCTTCCTTTTCTCATGTGGTCTTCATTTACAATGGTCTCCTATTCCTTGTTCTCCCTCTCTGTTCTTGATCCAGCTGGGATCTCCTGGTCCCACAGGCTCTCTTTCCCTCCGACTCATGTCAAGGTTGTTCATGTAGATCTCAGCCATTTCTCCGTCATTGGGTGATCCTCATGTCTTTCTTGGGGTCCTGTTTTTTAAGTAGACTGCCTGGTGATGTGAGTAGCAGTCCAGTCATCCTTGTTCCACCTCTAGTATCCTCCTATGAGTAAGTACATACCATGTTTGTGTTTCTGAGTCTGGGTTACCTCACTCAGGATGATTTTTTCTGTCTTAGTCCTTCTTATCTCATCACTGATAATGTGTTTTTAAATGTCAATATCAGTGACACAAAATGGAATTCTGTGTGCATTAAGTAAGCTATGTTTTGTAAGACATGTTTACCAAGTAGAAAAATACAATGGTGTATGCTTTAAGAAAGATGCATAAGTCCAACTTTTAAAAGGTCCTAATATTTTAGAAAGTTGACCTAGAGTAGGATATAGGTACACATGTGAGTAGTGCTACTTGTTAGATGTTGTAAGATGAGATGTGTTTCCATAGAATACAGCAGGAGGTATTAAGGCAAATGAGTACCTATGAAGCTGGAAATACACATATAACATCGCTTTCTACCTTCAAAATGGTGTCCTTTCTCCTCTGATCCCTAATCTAGTTACATCCAACTACACTTTTTCCTTAAGCGGATTCCAGTTGTTGAACATGTTTTTTAAATTTACCCTTCCTGTTTGTCATTTTTCTTCAAGAAACACTGTTAATCTACCCAAAGGTGTAGTGAGAACTTCATGTATATACCCTTGAGCTAACCTAAGTGATATAATATGATGCTGTTGAAGTCAACCATGTACTTCTATCCAATTAAATACTTCCTTTTACTTAAAAATATATCTAGTAATCCTAAATAGGTACTTCCATTCCCATAGAACTTTCTCTGCATGCATCACGAATATTCACTTTCCTGTGTATGTATATATACTTGTAATTATTGCTTAACATTTTTAAACATTATAATGTATCGAGAAATTAGCTTTTTCCTTTATATATTTTTCTCCACTACACTATCCAATATTTGCCTTTTTAGGTCTTTCTCTGTGTCTTAGACCTTTCCGAATTGTAGTATTTCCATGTACCATCCCTAGATGTATCCAGCATCAGGTATTTATTGTTTTATTCAATTTATTTTAATGGGCCTCAATTCAGTGATATAACCTTTGTCCAATCACAGTGAAGCAGTATTCTACATTAGCAGTTCTCATACTCTGTTGAAATGAAGGATAAACTAAAGGTCTTCAGAATGTGTGCCAGATCAATTTGAGAATTTACTATCAAAGACATCTTGAATGGAGCTAAGGAGTTGACATTGCTCACCAATTCCCATGTGCTGCTGCGACTGTTGTTGTCCTATGTGTTCAAGTACCCCAACTTGCTTGCCGACAAACTGGGTCACTTTCAGTTTCTGTGAATAAAGGTCAGACTATTCAAGACCTCCATGTCTGTTTTCTTTTTCATAAGTCAGTTAAAATGACTAATGGAATTTCTTGGGAGTGTAACTGGGGGACTGAAAATAGTTAAAAGTAATCTGCTTCAATGACTGGTAGGCTACTTCAAAAAGAAATGGACATTAATCAACTTGAGTTTGTAGTATTGATAAAAGACTCTTCCATATATTCATTTCAAATTATATTTATTTTTAATTTAAAGAATATTTAAACAGTTTGAGAAGTTTTATTTGCATATATTTGGATGAAGAATATTAGATGAGGATCACTGAAACCTTTCCATGTGTCTCAAATCCACAAAGAACCGATTCATTGATGTTTATCCATGGCTTCCTTTGCCCTTGTTCTGTAGGAAGAATAAGAGATAATTGACAATTGTAAAACATTGATATGAACCACTTTTTTCAATCTTAGGAAAATAGCATACCTTACATCTGTCTGTATTTTTAACCAAAAATTGAACATATTTTCTTCTTGAAACTCAAACCCTCCCGCATGGCCTGCAAGTGAGCTTCCAATGCCAACAGACATTGAAGAATAAGAAACTTTGCTAATGCTTGGTGGCCTTGGAACCTTTGTTGCAAAGATCAGCAGCTGATAGACTATAGAAGTTTTATTCAAGGACTCACTGTACTAGAACATGTCCTGCTCAGGGTCCTCTGAGCTGTGTAATATATCTTGGAATCCCATTCCAGGTATTATAAAAGACAGACTGCCTAGAGTTAGCTCCTTCTATTAGACACTCACCCTCCCAATTCTATGTTTTCTTTGGCAGGGTCTGGACCTCTTGGAGGGTCTTTCCCTCTCCTGAATAGGTGGGGCTCCAATTACTGAACTTGTCATAGCTTGGGTGAAGCAGAATGTGGTCATTAATAGCATGCATACACAATTTAGGGGCATGATGTATTAGAAAAAA